GGAGTAGGGAAACAAAAATGCGTCAACAGATCCCAGGGTAATTTATTTTAATGCTTTGGATTTTGTTCTTCGATCGTCTTTCTCTCCCTCCCCTCTTTTTTTAAAAAAAATAAATAAAACAAAACTATTTTTACAGTCCTAGAGTTCTATGAAAATATCCCGTTTTTTGACTGTCCACTTCTGTCAAGCCATCTGCAGGGGAGCCTACGTTCTCTTAGTCTTCACATCGGAGCGAGGCGGCTGGAGAAATTCCTTCCACACAATGGGGACCGAGGCAGGGACCGAGGCTCAATTGTTCGCCGTACTGTACACTCCCTGGACAAGGAGGAGAGATGCGGAAAGACGCCCATTTGTGAGGACAGGGACGGCGGATCCCTTGTTGCCCTTTTAATTTTAGGAAGCGTGGTCCTTTAATCGGACGGGGGAGATTTAATGAAATAAGATGAGATAGCAGCGAAAAATATAAAAATGCAAGTGGTGCTCCCAGTTTGGCACAACTTCTGCCGTGGTTGTGATGTAGGGGGTTGGAAGTGTCAAAACTTTGAAGATGAATGGATTACAGTACTTATGTTTAAGGACTCCAAGAATCGGGCTGGAGGTGATGCAGTGATTTGCGAGGTGCAAAAGCGCTCGGCTGACAGTCCCAAACAATGAGAGAGGAGAGCTCCGCAGGGAAGGAGCGGGGCAGAAGCCTCAAAGACGAAGCGGAGAGGCACAGCAGCAAAAAGCCGCACTGGCAAAGCCACACACACGCACCCACGCACCCATCCACGCACCCCGACATCATTTCGGATTAGGAGGCGACAGGGGACAGAGAGCGAGAGCCAGAGGCCTCGGGGCTGCGGAGATAGCTTTTTCTTCCCCCTCCGTTTAAAAAAAAAAGTGTAAATAAGGCCTTTCTGGCCCCCAATGAGGCGTTCCTTCTCGACTTTTTTGGATCAATCAAACAGACAGTGGCTTCTTTTGATTAAAGCCCAAATTGTCATTGGGCAGAAGCAATCATGTGACAGCCAATTCGGTCCAATTTCAACCTTGTCTCCATGAATTCAATAGTTTAATAGTAGCACGGTCCCCATACGGCTGTAATCAGTGAATTAGAAAAAAAACACCCCACCAGCGATCTTCTATGATATTTTTTTTCCTCCCTCTCCTCCTTTTTTCTCTCTCTCCCTCTCTCTCTCTCCCTCTTTTTTCTTTCTCTCGCTCTTTTTTTTCCCCCTCTGGGCCTTGCTCCCCCTCCCCCTCCCAGAAGCGCTAAATAAGAGGGAACTTTTTCTCCAAGGGGGCTGCCAGTGGAAGGCCATGAATTTCGAATTTGAGCGAGAGATTGGTTTTATCAATAGTCAGCCATCGCTCGCTGAGTGCCTGACATCTTTTCCCCCTGTCGGTGATACATTTCAAAGTTCATCAATCAAGAACTCGACGCTTTCACACTCGACACTGATTCCTCCTCCTTTTGAGCAGACCATCCCCAGCCTGAACCCAAGCAGCCACCCTCGCCACAGCAGCGGCAGCCGCCCCAAGCACAGCCCCAATGGCAGCGGCGGGAGCCCGGTGCCAGCCGGCGCCCTCCAGCCTCCGGAGTACCCCTGGATGAAAGAGAAAAAAGCCTCCAAGAAAACTGCCCTGCCGCCCGCTTCGGCCTCCGCCACGGGACCAGCTTGCTTGAGCCACAAAGGTCAGTTGAAAGACTTTGCTGAACCTTCCGCCTCGTAGGAGCGTTCAGATAGATTAGAGAGAGAGAGACAGAAAGATAGAGAGAGGCAGATTCCTTCCTCCACCACCGCCGCCGCCGCCGCCATCGCCATGGCCAGCACGATCACTGTCTTGGATTGTTGCCTCCCTAATTTAAGGCACTCTGATCCGGGGTATTGTTGAAGGAACCAGGAGCCAGGGCAGGAAAAAGTGGTGGGATCCACAGGCGAATTCCTCAGAACTCCCCCCCCCGCTCTTCTTTTTCTCTCTTCTCTTCG